GTATCAGGATAGAAACTTGTATGCCACGGCTACCGTTTAATGTATGTGATTTTATTGGTTTTTAAATTGATGAAACTTTCAAAAAAAAAAGTTTTGTATTTTTCATTCGATTCATTTGCAATTTTCAAATCCTCATTGTTTTACAAAAAATTATGGGTGAAATACTTGTTTCTGAAACAAGGCTCAAGACGTAAATAATAGCATTTTATATACCTCAATGAAGAAACTGACTTCCTTAGTTCAAGTTTAAAATCAATTTACCTGAAACTTGTATGCTAAAAAATCTGGAAGTTTAAACCTCAATTTGACCTTGTTGTGGACTAGACTATGCGCATTTGAAAATTTTATATGCAATTCTGAAAACAGAACAAAGGTTTTTATGCATGGCGAATTATCACGCAATCACCCCTGATTAAATTAAGGCAAGCTAATGAATTCCTTCCAGCAAAAAAATAACGTATAATATGTTCAAGCAAGCTTATATGCAATATTTGATCGTTAACATAGGAGCAAAAAATATCACTTTGTACTTAATATGGCGTGTGGGTGGATGTTTTTACAAAATTTTTCAATATATATATATATATATTTTAAAATCGAATTTTATTTTATTACATTTAAATTTTTCATGTTATTACCGCTCCATATACCTTAGTAGGCAGGCAGTCGAAACATTCAGGGCTTCGCCCTGATACGAGCAGTTTTGTTTACTCTAAGCTTAGTTTCAGTCCAGTTCATCTCATGTATAAAAAGAAGACAGAATAAGGAAAGTGCCGAATTGTTTATCTGTTTCAACATTAGTCGGTAAAAAAAGATGAACTGTTGATTTTTTCCCTCGTGGATAAATAGTCCAAATGACACCGAAAGATCGCATGTAAATAACGGCTTTGAAATTGTCATATTGACACCAAACTGATACTTTTTTCAGGTTCAGATGAAGAAAAAACATTTCAATATTGAACTCAAGAGTTTAGTAATTGTAAAATGATATCAGAGAATACTCTTAAATATTTTGTTATGACGATCAAATTTGATCTGAAAAAAATAACAATAGTTAAACTGAATATAATTTTTTTCAAGTATCGATTTTAGCAACCCATATGAAATGAAATGTAAGGCTTTTCCAGCTCATGTGTATGCATTAATAAAAACTTCAAAACAAAGTGATTTTATATTTTTTAGTTAATTTTTAAGTGAATCTCCAAAAAAGCTTCTAGCTAAAATACATTTGTCTGTGACAACTATTACTTGTTGCAAAAAGACAAGGTGACAAGGAGTTGTGTTCTAAAACATACAATGAGAACGATTGCACTGAAAAAAAAACTAGTTTTTTGGGAGAGCACTGGTTAACGACCACTCGATTTGTTTAAAGGTGTTTTTGGTAGTGACGCAAGTTAATCAGGGACCATGTGTTTTTGATTTTTTTGCCGTTTTCGCTACAGTACGGTTTTAAAAGATTCGGAAAAATCAAGCAACAAGGAAAAGTCCAACGCGTTTGTCTCAACTTTGGCTAAGATTTAAAAATTGAGGAGTAAAAAAATTGGGTAGAATTTCATTGTAGTTATTACAGTTATCACCGTGACTGATATTCACCGTAATTTTACCCCAAAACGGTTAGTGTTGATTTTTATAAGGAATCAAGAATTACGCTGAAACTATCAAGTTAATTGAAAAGAAAATTATATCAAAAAAAGCCTCGTCAACAGCCCCAAAAATTGTTCTAAAAAGTTAAACTTCCAAAAACTAGTATAAGGGAATATATTTTAGTTGAAAGCCAAAAAAGTAACTTTTACTATATAGAAACCTTCATATTTGTTTTAAGACAACTTCAAACGTTTTACGCAAGACTTTTTTAAACCTCCTAGATGTTTGTCGGGCTGTGTAAGTGGCTTCTATTGATATACCTGGTTGATCAATTAATTTTGTAGTTTCAGCGTAACTTTTGAATAATTAAAAGAGCCAAACTGAACCATTTTTTGGGTAAACTTTTGAATTAGAATTCCAAAAAAGTTGCACAACAAAAATTTTGGTGTAATTTAAGCAATTTTTTGAATTTTTCAAATTGTATCTTATCTCGACCTAATTTGAGAAAATTGCGTTTGAAATGTTTGCGACCAAGTAGTTGCAGAAAGTTAATGGGGAAAAAGCAAACATTTGTTGACTTCTCAGAAAGTAAGAATATAATTTTAGCAAAACTTCACAAAAAGTAAGTACATGATTATAACACCACTGCGTTTTAAAAAATTTTAGATTGAAAAACTGTCTAATTAACTGGAAAAAAAAACAAAGTTTTTTTTTCAATTTCCTCAATTACCCCCACACGCAAATGGAAACTACAATGGGATGTACTTAGCGTCTTGTATCTTAATAAAAAACCAATTGAATTGCATCAGTTTTTTTTTTGGAACGCATTAAACCTCCGCTTACGCATGTTGTAAGAGCGCAATATATTGCGTAATTATCGTAATTATCCATTATTGGCCGAATTAGCCAATTTTAGATCCCCACAGTTTTAATTATATAGATTAGAGGTGAAATATACATTTTTTAATCAGAATCACGAAAGCAATATCTTTTAGATGGTATAAATAGTTTCGTCAAAGTTACCCAGTTAAAAAACCGAAATTTGACTGACCAAAAAAAACACCACAATTGATTTCGGCCGCATTTGATTTCGAACGCATTGCCTAGTTTCAAACGCGATGAGGACAACTGCGAGCGGTGTTATTGCAACGAGTGGGTGAAGCAAAAAGCTGAAAACATTTAAAGCAGCTTAAGCTAATTCTCTATGTGGCGATCTGTGTTCTGCCGTGTCAGGTCGGGTTGGAAAAAGAACATGTGTCTTCAAAATTGACGAATATAAAATCAGCGCTTTGAAGCTTGACATCGATAATACTCACACCGCCAATTTTGCAGGCGCTGATTGTTTTCTTTGATGTTTCACAGCCTAGTTATAAAGCTGGTGAGACCTTTTGGATTAAACAAAAAAAACTGATCCATCTACTCCGTCTATATGTCCATGCCATTAGCGCATGAATTGAAAACTGAACAAAGTCAAGTAAAAAGTCAAGTTTCAATTTTGAAACAACTTTACTTCTAACTTTAGCACTGAAAAAGGAAAGCAACAGAGCCTCGCTGAGTTTTAAAAAAACGACCACTTCAAACAGCAATGCCAACTGACTGGAACCACCCGGAAATTCAACCCATGTACCCCTTATTTTGGTGGTTCTTGGGGAAGTCTAATCAAGCCTTCCACAAACTCATTCTCTGAAGTTATTGGAACTAGGAAACTGAATAACGAATTTTTCTACCTTTGCCTGCAAAGTAGAAGCCGTAAGCAACTCGAGACCACTAACAACTTTCTCCTCAGATCCTACCGACACTGAAGCCTTGACGCCGAACCACATTCTACTAGGGCGACCATAAACAAGTTTTTCGTCTGGTTTGTTTTTACCTCGCACTCTAATTCAAATGAAAACTTGGAAACAAGCTCAGAAAATCAGAAAACAGGCCAGAAATTCAGGAACCGCTACGCCGAAGACTACCTGCCAGCACTGACTACGCGACTTATTATAAAAAGTAGGCCGAAATCATGTGGGCAGAATATAGCTTTTAAACGAATATACATATATATATATATATATATATATATATATATATATATATATATATGCGAAGTCTAATTTAGTAAAATTACAAACAACAGACGTTTATCAGAACACTTAAACAACTACAATATGGCAACTAAGCCGACAAACATAAGCAGACAATAATAAGTCTATTTGGTCTATTTCCCGTTTGAAAAAAAAAACAGGTTCAATCAGTTTCAAACCCAGGACTTATGGCATCCCAAGCGTTGTGGTTATCTCCAGACTAAGTATGCCGAAGACGCTTAGTAATTTGAGTTTTTTATGAACAAAAAAAAACGATTGATTCAAGTGATTCTATTAAACAAGTTTTTAACCCGAAAAAAGTCTAAATTCTAGTTTGATAACGCTTGCCAATCGCAAGCGTAATAAGTTAAAAATAGTTCGTTCAAAGATTTTCCAACGGAGAGGAAATGTACCAGACCGAAATTAGCTATCAGAAAAATTCAAGATTTTCTCTAGTTGAGGCTGCTTGAAACAGTTTTAGACGTTAAATTTGTTTTTGAAACTTCGAGAGTTTTATGCTTTTTCTTGCCTACAACGATGTATTACTGCTGTTGATCTGACTGATATTAGCTCAGGGTTAAAGGGTATGTGTTCTCATTGGCTAGCAGTATGTCTGGATCTACTTAACAATTCCCCCACCCCCTTTCAAGAAAGGGGGCAATTGTTAATTAGATCAAGTTGTCGAATTTTGGCTTATCAGATTGCAGCAAAAATCGAATTTTAAATGCAACGCTCAAGTGCTAATTTACTGCTTTTATTTATAGGTGCGGCATTTTTTTAGTAGATACCAAAGGGAGGGTGATTGTTAAGTAGATCCGTATATCTTTAACGATATCTAACAAAGGTTGCAGTGCTTGTCTTAGGGATGAAAAAATTGAGTAAACAGGCACCAAAGTGACCATTTGGGATGCTGCTTTGACAGAAGCAAGGAAACTGTACTTTGATGCATGTGACTCTACATTTGCCATTAATCTAGCTTTTGGGATCAATCGTACGATGCTGATTAAGAGTTAAGCAAATAAAATTGACTAGTTTCAATTTCTGCAGATTGATCAAAAGTTTTTTGTCCCTAATTTTAATGCATGGTATCGAAATTGTAGTCTCAATTGCTTGTGTACTCAATTGCCAGCCTTTGGTTGTTATTTGGTGTTATTTTCTGTTATACGGCCCAAAAAACTATTCTTTTTGCTATTTGGAAAGTTTGATCATGAAAAGAATCTTGCTAGAATCTGATTGGTTGAAATTATTATCAGCGAAAATACATCCCATCGTTTTCAATAAAAATAGAAGTTCAATCAACATCATGATAATTTGGCCGTAAAACAGAAAAAAAAGTCGTTTTTGTACCTGAGGGGATATACGACTGCAATGTATCTCTCGGCAGCATTGAGAAGCATGAAGAGTGGGGTTCCGACAAGGTAGATGTTGAACAGGAATGCATACACGAGACAGCCACACTCGCCGAATAGAGTCTCGTTGCCCCTGAAGTGCATCTGAGCCACTAGAGGCCCGATCACTAAAAACACCAGATCACCCGTTCCACAATGCCATTTTTTTGTATAAAGACTTTTTTCTTCTTTTCAGTTGTAGTAAATAACATATATATTATATAAAGTTAGACCAAATTGACCAAAGCGACTCTTTCCTCTTGAAAAGAGCGAATGAAAGTTTGTGCACAGGCGTTTTTTCTCCTTGAGATTTCCCTCAGTTTGAGTAGGGAAAAAGATGTTATAAAATCCAGATATTGAATTAGATATGATAAATATATAGATAGAATAAAGTAACGAATAAATGATTATCGAATCCAGAATTGAATGTATAGTTTTAAAGGTATAATGTTTTCTGACTTGAATTCACACTTAAGGCTCTCGCAAGTGACCGCTTCCAAAACTCAAGTGACAAACGAATTGGCTGGTGAGATTTGTCCTTGAATCAATTTACTGCACTATAAGTAAATAAATAAGATATAGTTAGATAAGACAGTACATAAGTAAATAGAATATAATGAGGTACCGAAGGTCGCCTCATGACACTTCCCCCTCTAGAAAAAAATTTATCTTAGTATAAATTTTGGATCAGGCAGGAAGATGAGAGAAAATAAGCACCGGAATGGGTAAGAGATAACCTAGTCAATAGACTAGTATGGCAGAGTTTACAAAGTTTTTAAAGTTTATCATGCTCTTCCGATCTCGTTTTCTTAAACGGAGTAATTTGCTCCTTAGTCCTAGGAAACGGCACTTTCCGAACAATGGGGGTGAATGGCGTAGTAACTTGGCTGGCGAGTGGCGTAGCAGTTTGATCAGCGTTGTGTCGTCGTGACGAAAACTCCGCAGGGTCCGATTCAGTTACACTCTTAACTGAATGGCGAAGAGGATCTCCGTAAAACCTCGTTGGTTTCTTAGACCGATTAGATGACCGAAACTCGTTTGAAGATTGAGAGGTATGATTGTCAACCTCCGTGTTGCCAGTATTCGCAGAATCTTCTGTCGCAGTCTGAGGGACCTTGTCTGAAGTCTGTTGCAGATCCTGGGGTGGTGTTACCGCCCCTGAAGTGGATGTTAAGCCAGGGTGAGTTGAAGGATCGACAATCGGAGTGGTTGAAGCAGCGATCACGGGAGCCAATCCTTGAGGCGTTGAAACCGGTGCCTCCACTAAATCGAGCTGGGGGCCAGTGATCAATGAGTCCTCGCTCGACGACTCTGCTGTTAAGTCAATCACCTTACCCTTCGAAGGTTCAATTGACTGCCTTGTAGCTGAAGTGGTAGCTGGTTGAGATTGAGGCCGAGGAGCAATTTGTCGTTGCAAACGTTCTCCCACTGTGCCAGGCGTAGCTGAAATCTTAGGGAGATTAAAATTATGTCTTAGGCTTATGTGATTTTTCCGATAAACTTTTCCTTTGTCGGTAATGTAAGTATGATCCGTAACACGAGTAATCTTGATTTTTGCTAATTTGAACAGAGGCTTTCCCGAATTTCGATCAAGGACTTTCCGAAAGATTTTGACTCTTAGAGGATCTTGTAAAACTAATTTTTCTAATTTACGTGTTTTTGAGAGTCTTTTAGGCCTCGAAGAGGACGACACGTTCAATCTCTGTGAATGCGAGAGTGCTGGAGCTGACGTATCACGGGCGTTGTCGTAGAAGCGTAGGGTTCCCTTTGTGATCCCCGTCTTTAGCGAGTTTGCAAGGTCGCTATTACGAGCCGCCAATTCACGGAGAAGATTCTGGCCTTGCTGTGGGGGCACATTTCGTTTCCACTGCTTCCAGGTGTTAGCTGCTTTTGCAAGGTTCTCCAGGGCTTTATACGGTTGACTATCCGCAATACGCTCACCCACGCCAAAGAGTGGCTTGAACTTAAGTGGGATTTCTGGGCTGTGTGAGGATCCTCTGGGTACCACTTTAGCCCTATCGCGGCTGTAATCCTGGCTTGACCGTTGCTCCGGGGTTAGGAGGTTCCTTTCAAGTCCTTGCGCTGAAGTAGGGGAATGAACAACATTATCACGTGCTAATGAAAACTCAGTATTAGGTTTCCTCCCAAAGTGTAACTCAAACGGAGATACTTTTAACGTAGAATGCTTAGTTTTTCGAATATCGTCGATAATTTGTTGTAAAGTTGACTTCAGATTAGTAAAATTAGGATCTAAATTTTCTGTTCCTAACTTCCGTTTTATGGTCTGGATCGATCTCTCCACCAGCCCACAACTCCGATGATCCCCCACCGCTGTGAGGATGTGTTTAATACCTCTCATTTTGCAAAATTCTTTAACGACGTCAGAATGAAAACCAGATCCGTGATCCGTCCTAATGCTTTCTGGTATGCCATGATTACGAATATATGATCGCAAAAATTTGACTATTTTTTTCGCACTGGTTGATTTAGTTAACATCACCGAGGGAAATTTAGAAAAACGATCTATAGCGACTAAAATGTAGATTTTCCCCTTCTTATCATCTACCAACGGACCCGCGAAATCAAGTTGCAATTCTTGATTCGGGGCTGACAAAGTTGGTAACGGCTTAGCTGAGTTATAGGTCGCAGAAGTTTTGATGTTCTTACCAAAAAGAGTACACTCCGGGCACTTTTCGCAAACGTTGACAATTTGGCGGTTAAGAAATGGCCACCAAATATATTCCGATGCGTCCATCATGGCTGCTTGGCCTGGTTGCGATCGATGCAGTCGGGTCAGGATAGCACTACGTAACTGTTCGGGAATGGCTAGTTTGTTGTCTATCAGTATACAGTTGTTTACTACCGCCGCTTTTGTCCAGAATTGGGCCATGTAGGTCCCCAGTTTGTTAAAGGATTGTACATCCTTATTAATTATTGCAGTCCTCATCGGTCCGAGGAACGGGTCTTCCCCTGTCAGTTCTCCCAGCAGATCCACATCGAATAGTCCTGGCAATCCGACCACCTTCTTCTTGTCCTGAGTAACTAGCGGTTTGTGGTTGTTGATAGCATTAATCCCCATTCGAAGTACATTACCTCTTCTGGCCCGCCTTGTCAACCGCTGCCTCCGACACTTATCCAGGAACTGAGTGAGGGCCTTTTGCGTAGTCTGTCCTCTAGTGACCACGAATCGTTCTCGAGAATGTCTCAGTCGGGCAATGTTCCGGGAACGTATTTGATCAATACGGCTTGGGCGATCCAGAGGGCGAATTGTAGACATCTTAGGTCTTATTTGACTGGAGGTGCGAAAGTTAGGGGAACTTGTAGAAAAGTTCTCGACAAAATTAAGGAGATTTGTTTGTTCAACCGTAGTATTTACAAAGTCAACAGTATTAGTAGAGTTATTTAGAGTAGAGTTAAGAGTAGTATTTTGAGAGAGATTATTTGAAGTATCCATATCGTAACTGATTTCTAAGTTGTAAGGTCGGGGACAATGAGTTTGAGCCAAAACTTTTGGTTTAGCGTATCTCATTTGCATACTGTGCTGTGATTGGTCGAGAGTACCAGAGCATGAAACGTCGACCTCTCGCGGCGATGTTAAATGCTCACGTTTTTGCATACGAGAATATGATTGGCTGGTTGACTGAGAGCATGAACTGACGCCCTCTAGTGGCGAGAAGTAACGATGATTAATTTGCATATCCTTTTGGGATTGGTTGACAGATTGAGTACAGTTTGTGAGGCCCTCGTGCGGCGACGAACTGAACTGTTTAAAACAGTATGATTGGTCAGATGAATCGAACGTTGATTGGTCTGTTGTATGAGTTAAGAGGTAGCTAATGTTGCCTCCAATTTCACCAAGCGATCTGATTGGTCGGAACTCGTTATACTGTGAAATATGCCCACCGGCACTATTTGAGGTTTAGACCGAGTACTAATCGAATTTAAAGCATTATGAAAAGCTTGAATAGATTTAATGACGAATAATTCGTCATGCGACGATGGCAACGGTGCTTCAAAAGTCGGGTATCTAGACAAATAGTCGACGATGCCTAGAGAAGAACCGGGTATATGTTCAATGTGATAATCGAACGGAATGAGGCGGTCCGCCCAGCGAGAGAGTCGTGACTGATAAGATTTTTTACCATACGTTTCATTGAGGGCGGAAATGATGGCCTTATGATCGGTCAGAATAACAAATCGTGTACCAAGTAAATAGGTACGGAAATGCTCGCACGACCATACAATAGCCAGAAGCTCTAACTCATTGGTACTATACTTGATTTCCGCGGAGTTTAGAAACCTAGAAGCAAACGCAATCGGGGCCCAAACATTTGGCTCGACTTCTTGTTCCAAACAGGCCCCCAGCCCGCTATGACTGGCATCGCATTTAAGACGTGAAGCTTTCGAAGCATCGTAGTGAAACAAGTTAGGGATGTTTGCGATGAGGTTTAAGATCTTTTGAAACGCAATAGTTTGCTCTTCCCCCCACAGAAAGGATTTCTTATTCTCCGCTTTTAGCGAAGCTCTAAATGCGACTGTGTATTTGTGCAAATCCGGTATGAAGCGTTGGAGATGATTGAGTGTACCCATAAACGATCTTAACTGTTTAAGAGTTTTGGGTGGCAACAGGGATTTGATTGCCTCTATTTTTGAGAATTTCGGGGCGTAACCGTTTTCATCGATTTCGTACCCTAACCAGACTAGTTTATTAACTGAAAACTCACATTTACTAAGTTTCAACGCCCATCCTTCTTCATCCAATCGACTCATGACTCTTTCAACTAGTACATTATGGTCTTCAACTCTTCCTTTAGTGACAACCAGTATATCATCAAGGTAACATATGACACCCTCTAATCCTTGTAACGTACAGTCCATCGCTTTCTGAAATTCCGTAGGCATGTCCGTCAGTCCGTAGAAACCAGTCTTGAATCGATATGTGCCAGTTGCCTCTCCGCACAAAATACTAAAGTTACAATGACTACTGGTTAGTTCCGATAAAGGTAATTGACTGAAAGCGTATTTAAGGTCAAGAGAAGTAAACCACACCTCCCCAGGTGTGTCTTTAGTTATAATTTGAGCCGCCGAGTCGATCAATTCATGCATATTAGGCATTTGATATTTGTTT